TCGAACCCACGCCTCCATTCGGAGACCAGAATCCCCAAGGCAGGGAAGCACAACTTGAGTCTGGCGCCTTAGACCACTCGGCCATCCTGACACCTTGCGAGAAAATGGAGATTTTCAACTGAAACAGAGATCGAGAGAGAGCGCTGTTCCTGTGACGTATATGATGACGTCAAGACTGTTTTACAACTGTAAAAGAAGACCGCCACCAGTGGATGGAAAAGAACAAAGATTTTGCAGAAGGAAAAAAAAAAAGTTTATAAAACTTGCTCGGGCGGGAGGGTGAGGGGAGTGTTAGGGGGGAAGGCGGCCCAAACAAAATACACACGCGAGTAAATGTAAAAAGGATTAAAAAAAAAAAACAAAAAAAAAACCTCGATCCAAGCAAGAGTCTTTTAAAAATGGAGGCCCATGTCTAACAATTCTCTTCTCCATCCCCAGAAGGCCGCGCCAATACTTCCCGCCCCCAGCTGGCCGAGAGCTGGGAAGGACGGAAGGAAGAACGTCTTCGTTTAGGTCGCGGGTCGGCTCTGCAGCCTCGAATCGTCACTGAAAGTTTGATGGTGGTCAGCCTCCTCTGGGGTTTCTTTCTTTTGAAGACGGCGAGGAACAAAAAAACAAAACCTTAAGAACAGACCCGGTTTTATGGCACGGCCCCCTTCTCCGCTCTGTTTGGTTCCTTTTCCCCCAGAACTGTCCTGCCACTGGTTGAGGAATTTTCTGTTGGGCTCCGAAAGCGACATCCGGGAAAGCGCGACGCGGCGACTCCGGAGCGGCGCCCCGCCCGCCGTCTTCCTGGCCCCCGAAGTGTCCCAGGCCAGGTCCGGGGACGAAAGTTTAATTAATTATGATCTGATGGGTTTTTATTATCACAAAAAAGGGTTTTCTTTCATAAGGTAAAAGTTAGGTCTCTTGTGCATGAAGAGAAACGATTTTAGTTTCAGTAGGCCCAGTCTTAGATTTCCAGCAATTCGCCTGGTTTCACATTCTTGGCCTTTTTTGTGAAGGGTTTATCAGGAAGGCGACTCCCGAACTATTTCCCCTGCTGACTTCGAACCCGGATCCTCCTGATCTCTGCCTCCTAAGCAGCTAGGATTACAGGCGTGAGCCACCCGCACCCGGGACATTCTATTTTTGCTAATTAAAAAACAAACAAACAAACTGGGAGAGTGAGAAGTACGGTGAACACAGATTTCTCGTCCCCAAGATAAAAGACCTGCTGCATTTCTTTCAGCGGCTTTATCTATTGGGATGAAGTTGTGGGGGAATCACAACATGGCAATAGAAACTTAATTACCCATAACAAGTTTTTTTTCCCTAATTACAAAGTACCCATGAATTGTAGAAAATACAAACAAATCAGAACTAAAAATAATCTCACTTCTAAGTAACTACCCCGACATGTTTACTCTAATCCTTTCATATGGCATACATCTCCCCCACAAATTAAAAAAATGGTCATGTATAGTACATACTTTGCTAACTTGCTTTTATTGTTTAGACAGTGTCTTGCTAGCCAAAGCTAGCTACTAATTCGAGATTCTCCAGCCTCTGCCTCCTGAGTGCTGGGTTTACAGGCATAGCCCACTACAGAAACCTCATACAGGAGGAATTTCAGGTTTAAACAAGGTACAAGGATTTAGTAATTTAATTAATTAAGCTGCAATTTACTCCTGGATCAAGCTGGTGGGCATCAAGCCCTCATCCTAAAGGAACAGGGTCCTAAGGATTAGCTCAGTGGTGGAACACTTGTTTAGCATAAGCAAGACCCTGGGTCTGATACCCAGCACCATGGTGAAACAAACAACAAACCAAAAAACACTCCCAAACAGAACCTAAATAAGAAATATAGCCAGGTGCTGGTGCTCACACCTGTTCCTAGCTACTCAGGAGGCTGAGATCAGGAGGATCAGGGTGCAAAACCAGCCCAGGCAAACAGTTCAAGAGACCCTATCTTAAAAAAACCCATCACCAAAAATGGTTGGCGGAGTAGCTCAAAGTGAAGGCCTTGAGTTCAAACCCCAGTACTGCCAAAAAAAAGAAAAAGAAAAAGAAATATAGAACTAGCATTTCAGCTTCCTCCCAAATTACATTATACAACACTGAGGCCTCCTACAACACACAATGTCTAAGCCCCAAAATTTTTGTTACACTCCACTTCCTTTTCATGTTATTCCTCCCATCCCTTCCCCACCCCTTAATGAGTAACTTTTCCAAGGGCAGAAGTCATGCTATCTTATATTCTTCCCAAGTCAAGTTCAGCTAGTTCACTGTGTATCTGAATCAAAGAATCATTGTCTTCCATTTGGCAAGAAGAGGAACACACCACCACTGAGTTTTCCTTTTTTGCTGGAAGGTGTGTGGTTACCACCTACATATACCCTGGACTTGAGATAACCAACAATAACAAATAGCTCTCATTTACCATCTAAAAGCTATTTGTTGTGAATTTCATAGTGTCTCTAAGAGGCTGGCAATTATGATGCACATTTGATCATCTCTGCTAAAGTATGTGGTAGGGCCCATATTGTTTTCCCTTATCCTCTTTTTTTTTTTCTCCCTTATCCTTTTTAACATGTCTCTTCTAGGCTCCTCTGCTCGTGGGGAAAGTGCTCTTCTCTGCATGCTGAGCTGTACCAAGAAAAAAAGAGCAGCTGAAGACAAATGTGCACACACACATTTTCCTGTGGCAAAAAAAGAATTGAGGAATGAGGAGTTGTTGAATCCCTAAAGTTTAATTAATAACTTTAGGTGTTCCAAGGAGTAAAACAGAAGCCCAAAGAATCATGAGCCCTGTGTTTACCTTCAGTGGCCCATATCCTGACTTAAAGACTTCAAAGGTTGCATTCCTGCAGATGAGCCAATTTAGTATTGATAAGTTCATTTAACCCCATTTTAAATGGCAGTTTAATTAAAAATTTAAATAAATACCCATGAGCCCAGTACCCAAGAACCAGATTATCAATAACTCTTAACCTATGCCCTCCTACTCTCCATCCTCTCAGTCCATAGGTTGTGACAATCAATTGTCTTGTCTTGTTCATAAGGGTACAATACTTTTATTAGACTCACTCTGATATATCCTCATTCAAATGAGAAGTCCTGGGGTTTAAATTCAGGGTCATAACCATCCTAGGCAAGTACTCTTACTTTTTTGCTTTAGGTTTTCTTTTCTTTTGATGGTATTGGGGTTTGAACTCAAGGGCTCACACTTGCTGACAGGCATTCTACTGCCTGAGCCACTCTTGTCAGTCCTGCTTTAGGTTATTTTTAAAACAGGGTCATGTAGATGGCCTTAGAACACAATCCTCCTACCTGTGCCATCTGAGTACCTGGGATTACAGTTATCTATCACCATGCCTCATTTGTTTGAGATGGAGTTGTGCTAAATTTTTATCCAAGTTGGCCTCTAACAGTTGATCTAACTGTGATCTATGAAAGCACACTAAGATGCTGCTCCTAAAGCAGGAGGTCTACTGTGAATAGACCAAGTTCAGGTCCTCTAACTGATAGTGAGTCTCTATCACTGGGGCCTCAAGAACCAGGAGTCCATCCAAGGCCATGTTTCCTTGGATGGGTAAAAGTTGTCCTCTTTGTGGGCCTGCTCCAATGGACTGTTAAGTGAAGTAGAATGTGACTTTGAGTGACTCTTAACCCCATTTTCAGTTGTAGATTCTCCAGTCTAGAACAGACACTGCAATAAGGCAGGCATCCCAGGTCAAAGGCTGGTACTGCTCTGCCCTTCTCACGTAGAAAGCCTCATCTATTATGCTGTGGGGCAGAATTTGATGCATATGGTTTTGTATTCCATCTTAGTCTGAATCCTGGCTCTGCCACTTCCTAGCTGTGCACCTTCAGTAGGTCACTTAGCCTCTCTCCCTGCTTTGTCTGCAAAATAGGACACACTTCATAAGGTTGTTGTGTTAAACACGTTATTGTGCGTAACACTCCTCATCCTGAGACAAGCACTGCTGTGTTAGTGTTGTGATCTAGCCTCATGAGGCCTCTTTTTTTTGTTTGTGGTACGAGGGTCTGAACTCTAGTTCTAGCATTGTGCTTGTTAGGCAGGTATGCCCCAGCCCTTTTTGCTTTAGGTATTTTTGGAAAAAGGCCTTCCATTTATGCCCAGGCCAAGTTGAACTGCAATCCTATTTATGCTTCCTGTGTAGCTGGGATGACAGGCATATGCCACCAAGTTCAGCTTTTACTGGTTGAGATGGAGGTCTCATGAACTTTTTGTCCAATCTGGCCTTGAACTGCGATCCTCTTGATCTCTACCTCGAGTAACTAGGATTACAGGTGTGATCACTTCAACCAGTTATGAAGGCCCCTTTCTCAAGTCCCTGGTTGTATTATTTCCCTTAAACCTTAATGAATAAATAGAGAATTAGGGTATATTATCAACTCATGATCTTCAGCCAGGGAACACAATGCCTACATCAGGAATAAAAATATAGCCCACAAAACTTTATCTTCTGGGACCCTGTTTAGAAGCAGGAAAGATTCAAATTCCTAAGACTACATCTATTCTGTCAGCCTGATCATTCCTCCTCATTGTAGGTTAACTGTACTCTCAAGGGCTTGGACTGATAACCTGTTTTGGGAAACATATTTTGGGCTCTCTGATCTATTCCAAGCAGGGCTACATTTGCAAATTAAAATACATGGGCTTTGGGCTTAAGGTGTGGTTCAAGCAGTAGATCACCCACTTTTCAAGTTTGAAGCCCTGAGTTCAAACTTCAGTCCCATCAAAAAACCAAAAAACAACAGGCCTTGAGACACCCCTTTCACAGTGAAATTACAGAGGGACACCACAGCTATAGGTCAGGGAGATTCAACACTAGTTGACAGGGCACTGAGAAACTAGTTTTATTATCCTGTTTGAAGAAAAATTTTGGCCACAATGGGATAACGGACCCATACTGGAAATTATCACCACACCCCACATACCACTCTTCATCCGTGAACCCAGTCTTACCAAGACCCGGAAAACAAGAGTAATGTAAACATCCATATTCACTTTATTTTTAAACAGTGCGGCATATACCCAAATAGAAGCAGGACTAAGAACCAACATGGGGCTTGCTCAAAGTGATACACCTTAGCCTTCTGACTCCAGAATGTCTCATGATCCAATAGCCATGGGGATGGAGCTACCCCTTGATGGTACACACATTAGGAAGGTCAGTTCCGTCATCTCCCAAAGGAGATGGAGAAAAGACAGCAAAAAGGCAATGAATCCCTGGAATACTGCCCCAGAACCCTTCCAGGGATGGTGTATGAGTGACCACCGTCCACAAGTATGTCAGAAAGAGAGGATTTACAAACAGTGGACTGTGATGGGCAGAAAATTATCCTAGATGATGTGCACCCAGCACCAGGCTATATCTTTCATTAGTATGGAGAGAGCAAACAAAGCCCTCAGAAAAGATGTAAAGACAAAGAGACATTGGTTATACTATTTTCTCGTAATAGAGATGGGGCCATTTCTCACCACTGTTGTAAAATAACTGTAATCAAAACACACATAGGCCTTGTTAATGGAGTTAATAAAAATATGGCAGACTGGAAATCAGAGTAAAAGTACTATTCCAAGAAGGAAGAAGTGGGATAAAGGGAACCATGCTGACAGGCCTTGTAGTTCCATTCTAGGTTATCAGAAAGGAGCCCTAGTGCAGAACTGATAGCAAATGCCCTGATTACTATGTGGGGCTAAGTCAGGGAAAGCCAGGTCAAGCCAAGAAGATGTTAGTGTCTTGAGTGGCTCTTTGAGTTCAAAGATTATCCATATTCTTTGTCTGCTCCAGTCATGTGTAAAACCAAAAAATGTGAAACACTGGAGGAGGACATCTGGTTTTTATTTCTGGGAAATACTGGTATTTCTCATTACAACTCACAATTCGCAGAGGAAAAGAAAAAGTACAGTAGAGAACATGGAAATCCCATCTCCCACTGCAAGGGCATGAAAAATGGTAAGGATATCCAGCTTTGAGGGACAGAAATTGGCAAGATGACAAGATGCCTTGTGGCTAGGGAAGGATTAGAGCCAATAGCCCTTGTGGCCTGAGTTCACCTTCTTAAGGGGAAGTCTCCATGGAATGACCATGATTCCCCACATGGCCAGAAAACCCATCAATCCCACTCATGGGGCAGATGATCAGAGGAGCTGCACTCTTCCCTCCCGAGTAACTGAGGCTGAAGTAGGGCCGGACAGGCCCACAGAAGGTAGCATGTGAAAAAGTAAAGGTGTGACACCTCTCTGTCACGTTGTAGAAGGACACCTCACCAGCATCATAGTCCAAGAAAATCCCCACCCGCTGGAGAGGTGTCCGCAGGGGAAGGGCAGTCATTGGGGAGGTAAGAGCCCAGTATTCTTTCCCATACCACAATGACACTGCCCAGAATCCATTCTGGGGGGCTGAGGTTACTCCACCTTTTCTGCACACTGAGTCTTCACAGACACCTATGGTCCACTTGGCTTTATCTCCCACCTCTACCTCCCAATAATGTCTCCCAGCGATGAAACATGGAGAGCCCAAGACACAGGGAAACAGATTAAACCGCTCAGGGTTGTCAGGCAGGTCCTGTTGGAGGTAACTGTATCGTACTTGTCGAAGATTATCAGAGAGGATCAGGCTGGGGTATGCTGTGTCCGGGTCCAGAGTCACATCCACTGCAGAAACAGAGGGGAGGGTCAGCCTGCAGGCCAGAAAAGTCCACTCAAGAATATTCAGCCTTTCTCCTACCTCTCTGGGAACAAAGCAAGAGCTCCTTGCTAGAAGTTGCATTCACCTTATGATACACCTTAAAATTCACATTTTAAAAATTACTGTGCAATATTAGCTAGTTACCTTCTGTATTGATATAGTGAATGTACTAAAAAAATTTACTTCCACTCTTTTTCTTTTTCATATTAAGTCACGATATCTATTATAAACCAAATCTTAGGCTTTGGTTTTTTTGGAGGGGGGGACAGTACTAGGAACCGAACCCAGAGTTTCACACTTGCTAGGCAATGCTGTCCCATTTGAGCCATGCTCCTAGCTCTTACATGGTCACACCCCAAATCTGAGAGCTTCAGTGGCCAAAAAAAATCAGATTATTACAGACTCTACATGGGCACAGCCAAGTCCTATTGATCTTCTAGGGTCTCTATATCCCCCCCAAAGATATTCTTAACCAGTCCCTGCTATTATAATCTTCTTGATTTTTAAATATAAACCTGTTAATCAGGCATATTCTCTCTGGTATTTAGATTACTGCTTCTTGTGGTGTCTTCCTACTTCATTTCTCTCATTTCCTCCTCTCATCTTGTACAGGAGAGGACTGCCAGTAATCAAAACCCAATCAGGCTAAATTATTTTCACGAAATGGTTCACAACAGGCTGAAAGAGAACCCTTGATTCTTGTTTCAATAATCTGTCCACAATAGACTCCTATCTGTTCCTTCTTAAGCTCTTTTTTCTTTTCCCTTTTTTTTTGGGGGGGGGAGGGAAGAATGCTAGGGATTAAATGCAGGGTCTCTTACTCTCTACTACTGAGCTACATACACACTCTGCTCCAATCTATCCCTTTCTTCTGTCGTGGGTGTACCTCTTATCTCAAACCAGACCATGTAAACTCCAAGGGTAGGATGGTGTCTCATACTCTTTGTTCTCTGTATAAAATTAGACTGTGTAAGATATAAGCAAGATAAATCAGTTAATGCTTATTTAAAGAATCAAATATGGATCATAGGCAGTGGGACCCAATGAAAGAACAGCTATTGTTAAGTAGAGCTGTTTCTCTTCATCAAGAGGATTCCATACAACATAAGGTGTAAACACCTTACACTTGGAAACTCGGGTCTGAAATCAGAGATTTACCTGTCTCTCTGAATCATTAGGTGAAGATGGTTATCTAGGGGAGGGAGGGTTTCAACCTCTGCCCAGAGTGATGTGACAATCAGGATACCTAGACTCTCTGGCACTCAATAAGAGCTGAACACAATCATTGTTATGCATCATAGTAACGCGGTGCCCCTGGGTCTAGAAGGCAGGCAGTGTGCCCAGTAGAACTGCTCCACTTGGGAAAACTATGTTTCTACTCTACAACCCTTCATAACAACCAGAGACTGACTTTTCTCTTATGACTTTAGCTCTGAAGCACTTCAAGTAGAAAATATATTATAAATACCACAGAAATAACCAGAGGATTGTTGCTGTGTGCCATTTCTACATATGTAATTTAAAGAATTCTAACTAAGACAATTGTTAAATCATTCACAATGGTAGTTAGGTTTACAAGAACTTGTTATTCCCTTCCTGTACGTAGTTTTGTCTTCTACCAACCTACCTGAGTATAATTGAGCCTCTCTCAATTCTGAAAGAACAAAAGAGAAGAGAAGTTATGGAAGTCATGTGAATGTTCCCAAGAAATACGTAACTGACAGAGCTTTGGTTAGTCGTCATAAAGCAGTGGTCTCCACTAAAAGTTTCAGAACCCATGTCAGTCATGCACTGATTTCTTCATACAATATATGACTCCATCATTCACTTAGATTGTAAAAAAGAGAGACTGGAAACCACCTTGGGAAGAAGGATAACCACATGCCGAGACTGGCAGAATATTATATCAAACTGAGCCAAGATAAAAAAAATAACTCTATGGTCCAGCAGGCCAGCTGGCTCTGCAGAGGACAACACAGAGCCCAATGTCATATACAGCTCTTAACTTTCATAAAGCTCTAGAGACTGGGTGGTTCAAGTGATACTCACTGCACTCCAAGGCAAACAACACTTACATGGTACATTACAGTGAACAGGGCATTTTTACATCTGAGCCTTTTAAGCAGCAAAAGAAGAGTAGAAGTAAATGAGAGCCAGATCAAGGAAGCCACATATGAACTAACCGCTTCTGGTATTATGCCTTATATTAAGTGGATTTCTAGCTAGGGCATGGTGGCACATGCCTGTAAATTCCAGCACTTGGGAGGCTGAAGCAAGAGGATCTCCTCCCCATTTGTCTTGTTTGTGGAGGTTTTATGCGTATTTCCTCCCCCTACATTGCTAGATGACAAAGAAAAAGTATGTATTTGAGAAGATGCAATAAAGTACTCAGCATACACAATAAAGGAAATTATTATGGGGTTTGCAATTCTTTTTTTTTTTTTTGGTACTGGAGTTTGAAATCACGGCCTCATCCTTGCTAGCTAGGCAGGTGCTTTACCACTATGAGCCATTCCACCAGTCCTGAGGGTTTGTAATTTGTAATAAATAAGGAAACAGTTTACTATGTCTTATAAGGATTTCAGCTCCATCAGAATTCTTAGGAATTTACTTTGGAATTTAGTATATGGCCAATGCCATAAGCAGAAATTTTTAGATATGGAAAAACTTCCCCAAAATGATGAGAAAACTTTATTTAATAAACATAAATATAGGGTTTAAGATGCATCAGGCTCCATTCTAAAGCCTTCAGAAATGGTAAAGGTAAACCTTAATTAACCTTATAACCTTTCTGAGGTAAGAACTACCATTTTCCAGACAAGGAAACACTGTAGAATTGTAATTGGTAGGGCTGGGTCAGAGCCCCACAGCCTGATTTCTGAATGCTGGCTTCTAAATACCTTCTTGGAGGTGCTATCTCAGTCATCGTATTCATTTCTCCTGGCTACTTGGCACCTGTGCCCACAAGCAGTAGGAACTCAGTTAATTACGACTGTAAATACTGGCTCAAGTGAAATGTAGCCAGGATAGTCTCTGCTGATTCTCTTTATTTTCCAATTTAAGAGATATTTAAATAATTAAACTAATTCTGGATGTAATTAACAGACTTCAAATGAGAACAAGAGGCTATTAATTGAAAAATTAGCAAGACAAAGAGGAATAGTGGCATATCTCCATAATCAGCACTCATGTAGCTGAGGCAGGAGGACTGAAAGTTTGAGGTTAGTCTGGGTTACACAGCAAGACCCTGTCTCAAAAAAAAAGATGTGAAACATTAAGGAAGATCTGGCCAATAGGCATCACTTGTCAAATTTTCCCACATTTTTAATACAGATACTCTTTTTCCCAACCAAGTCCAACATCAAAAGCCCAGCAGGCAAGTAAATTTACCTTGGATTTTTTCCATATCAGACTGCATTTTTTCTAAGGAGAGAAAAGAAGACACTCAATTTATATGGCTCTCTCTGGCTGGAATATATGTATCTTTAGTTGATATACATATATTCAGAATATAAACCCATTTCCTTTCATGACCCCTCTCCTCCTATTACCTGTGAATTGCTTCAGACTCTCTGTCAAGAACAGACATTTTTGGGCAAAAATGTGGATTTTCTCTTGTAGATCTGGAGGTGTGATCCAGGGCTCAGGAATCCTGATTCTTTCAGCCCTAAATTTAAAAAATATATGTGAATCCCTTTCCCCAATTTCATAACCTTCTTGGTACCAGGATAGGGCCTGGACTAAACAATCCAGGGGATAGATCTCCTGGACAGGTGGTTTTAGAACCAGCTTTTATAGTCTTCCACATCTACTCCTAGACTATAATCATCCAATCAGAACAAAGGAGATAATCTTGCTTATTTCATTTCCCCCAAAGCAGACAGCTCATGAGTTCACAAATAGCAAGTCTTTAAAGAGGTTTACTGAGTTAAATTGAATTGAGGCTAACCTTGCCAGAAAGCACTAGATTCCATGACAAAGTCCTTGATATTTATGGTAAGCGACTGTCTAGAATCTTCAGGTTCCCAAACATGGAGAGAATGACATCTTTAAACGGACAGGCACACTGTGGGAGATGACACCTGATTTCCTCACCTCCACAAGGGAATTTGTAGCAAACACTGTTTAGTAACCTACCCAATACTCCTCTCACCTTCCAAATTTTATGGTTCATGGCTGGCTAGTCTTTTTTATAGACAGATGTGATCCTGTGACTGAGTTCTGGCTAATGAGAAGAAGTATCTCACAAGGGGTGTGTGTATGGAGAGAGTATCTCACAGTACTCTGAAAAATCTGCTTAAAAAGGAATGTGGTAAGACTCATCTCCTTTCTCCTGGCAGGCACTCTAGCAGCTGTCTTGGTGTAAATGAGGACCATACCTTAGGGATGTTAAAACAGTGAATGGGAAGTCTTTGAGGTTCACTGAATAATTGGAGCCACCGTATCAGCCCAGAGCTACTTACCTACCATTTCTTTCTTTCTTTCTTTTTATGTTTAAGCCTTAAGCCAATGAAATTTTGGGTTTCCTATCTTGTATGGCCAAACCTAGTACTTACTGCCACACACTGCTAGGGTCTGAAGGATTTATCCCCCATGTTAGGTCAGAAATAGACTGGCATAAAAAAGTAGCAAGCAGAGGTACTATTTTCTTGGGTCATCTGGCTGGGACTAGGACAAGCTCCAACTTACCACCATCTAAGGACCCTTAAGAATAGCAATTCTGGGCTGGTGGAGTGGCTCAAGCAGTAAGAATGCTTGCCTAGCAAGGGCGAGGCCCTGAGTTCAAACCCCAGTGCTGCCAAAAAAAAAAAAAACGAACAGCAATTCTATCATCATGATTTTATCTCCAAAGATCTGCCAGCCAATCTATCCCTTCTATGAGGCCTCTTCTATCAACTCAAATACTCCCATATAGTCAAACTATATCTTCCTCTAGAGGATTTTCACCATTCAGGATTTTAATCAACTTCCAAGTCCATCTAGTACCCTCAAAGTCAGTCAGTTTCCACCCCAGAGGCACTCTTTACAAAACATTATCTTCCCAAGGCCTATCTCATTTGCTCATGTGATCTATCCTGCAAATACAACTCTGCCCAAGCTTCTTGCCCCCTTCAAGTTCTCCCTTTTCCAATCTTGTTCCAACACCTATGGAGCTCTTCCTTTTTTCTTCCCTTTGGTACAGGCCTTGCTCATGGTAAACAAGTGCTCTACCACTGAGCTACAGTCCCATCCCTCCTCACTTTCCATTTGATGGTATAATAGAGAAATAACAGGAATAAGACCCAGAATCCAGGTAGGTCATTAGTAATTACAGAACTCCAGGATGATCATATCTTCCTTAGGCCTTATATCCCATTATAGAAAACTCCTTGTTCTCACCACTAAACCACTGGCACCCTCTATACTGAACACACTACTCTACCCCAACTCCACAATTTGTCAATATTTCCTAAGTTTTCCTGAGAAGAGCTGAAGTTCAGCTAGCTCCTTGTGCACCAGTGACTCTCTTCAAGGACAGGCAGCAATTCAATAATCTGTCCAGCAAACCCTGATCTCCTTTCAGGATTTACAAATGTGAGTGAGACCATCTTCTTAGGCTTGATTTAAGACTATACGCAGAGAAAACTGTACCTGCTCAATGTGTCCCCGATGTCCTACAAGAAAAAGGAAAAAAGATAACTATGAGAAGTTAGTCGACTTCATAATGTTTTTCATAAATGTCCCTTGTAAACTCAACTATCCCCCCCCACATCCTGTAGAAAAAACAGGGAAATGAACTACTGTCTCAAGAAGCTACAAATCAGGCAAATAAACTGGAATTTATTATAACCAAAAACCTACCCTTCAACTAGCCATCTACTACCTTCTTTTCTTTCTATTGTGAAGTAATTTGAAATATACAAAATAGGCGCTAGTACAAAAATCTCCCGTATATGCTTTTCCTAGATTTTCCACTTTTTACTATTTAATAGTTCCCTAATTTTTTATCTTTCTCCTCATATATTATGACATATGTATCTTCAAAATCATTTGAGGCCATTGTTTACCTTCTATTCCTTTTTATGACCAAGTGCAGTTCCTAAGAACAAGATTTTCTTACCTAACTGCAGCAGTTACTAAAATTTAGACAAATGATGACACACTTATCTCACCCATTGTCCATATTCTAATTTAATCAATTGTCTTAATGATATTCTTCTCAGCTATCCCAACCACACTCCCAGGTAATTCAGGATCATTTACTGCATTTAGTTACTATAACTAGTAATTCTAATCCACTGACTAGAACAGTTCCTCAGCCCTGACTATCTTTCATGGCAATCACATTGTTTGATACAAGTCATTTATTTTATATAATGTCCTTCCATGTTTGGTTAGACATTTCTCTCATAATTAAACTCAGGGCGTGCAATTCTTGACTAGCATATATTGTGTTCTTCCAGAGGTACATATTTGTTCCTTATTGAAAAAAACTGATTTTGGTCTTTGTATAGTTACCATTTTCCTTTTGTGATTAGTAAGTAACCTGGGATACTTTTAACTCTGATCAAACTTAGATATGTCATCCACTGACAATTCTTGTCTAAATTAAGTTTTATTTTGATGGTTGCCCAAAGGTCATTTGCTAACCTCAAAATTTCTTCTACATTAATGAGTTGACATTCTATTGGAAGAACTTTCTCCTCTTCTTTACTATTACTATGGACTCACAGATCCTTATTTTATTCAATGGGTAATAATCTGTACCTGTTCTTATTTATTTTAGTGGTCAAAAAGTTGGGAGACTTGGCCAGAGTCCTTGTCACTCCCTCTTGTCCCCGCCCATCTCACTGTCCCCACCCCCATTATTTTGTTATCCTTCTAGTTTCCTTTGCAAAAATAGCTGATGTTTTTTTCCAATTTCTACTTCTTCATTACACAAAAACTATTATACTCTGGATCTGACATTTTGATCCTGGAAACCATTCCATATGATTTCATTGTTATCTTGTTCCTTTTCATAGTTGCATGGTATTTTTGTGTAATATGCATAAATAATTGACCAAATCAATCTTCGAGGTTTGGAAGTCAGACTATTTCGAATATTTTGCACTTAAATATTGTAGCAAGTAATACTGCTGTATGTTTATTTATTTAATTTTTTTTGTGTGTGTGGTGATACTGGCATTTGAACTCAAGGCTTCATGTTGCTAGGTAGGTGCTCTACCACTTGAGTTACTCCACCAGCACTGCTGTGTATTTTCAAACTTAGGTCTATCTTTAAGGTAAATTCTTAAAAGGATGTTTGATTAAATCTAACTGTATATATGTGTATGTACTGCCAAACTCTCTTACTAAAGTTTCACAATTTTACATTTCCGCCAGCATTAAGTGTCTCCCCCACATTTTTGCTAACTATGTGTCATATTAAAAAAATAAAATAGCAACAAAAGCTTTGTTATTCTAACTAGTAAGAGGACCTTAGTGTAGTTTATCTAAGTATAGTTAAGTATTTTTTCATATGCTCAGGGTCAATTTTATATGCCTCTGCAACTTGCCTATTTTTGTCTTCTGCCTACTTTCCTACAAAACTTTTTATAAGTTCTTTATATATTAGGAGTATCATATTATTTATGGTATTTGTTGCAAATATCTTCTTTGAATTTGATGACTTCTGACTAGTTCCAATGTGTGTGCATTTTTTTCCCTTGTGCTAATGCTGACTGCTTTAATTATACACCCCAGCTCCTCTTCCTCATTTTATTCCAGCTATTTGCTTGCTTTTCTGTCTTAACTGTACTATCAATTTGTCTAGATCCAGGGTGGGGGGGCGGAAGGTTTCTTTTTAATTCAAATTTTATGAATTTTAAAAACTGACAACTCAATGCTAAGATGTTATAACCAAGAATAAGGGATATCTTTTCTATTTGGTCAAGTCTATTTTGTGTCTGTCAGGGTGTTTACCACACAGACTTTTGTACATTTCTTTTAAATTTATTCCCAACAATTTTTTTTGGAATTGGAAACGGGGTGTTTTCTCCTAATGTATCTCCTAATGACTGTTATCTGTACATATAAAAAGAGCTGATTTCTGTATGTTAACTTCTTTCTTACTTCTTATACCTCTACTTGTTTTCTCTTGTCCCTGTGAATTGGTTAAAACCTCCATTACAATGTTAAATACAGGTAGGTTATAGTGAGCATTTTCCCTTTTTTCTGACCTCAGAAGGAATGCCTCCAGTATTTCCCCACTCTGATAGAGCTTGCTTTTCCAAAGACTTTTACCATACCCCCTCTTGGGTAATCACCAAGACCGCCCTCCCCCCTCAACTAAGTCCAAGATCTTCTTTTTTTCTCTACTTTCCTCACCACTTTGGTGAGGCTTTGGTGTCATGATTCAACTAGTTAAAAATACTCTAATACCTTCCGCTTAACAATGTTTTAAAACCTTAAGTATGGTGCTTGCTTTGGCAACAGATGTGCTCAAATTGGAACCACACAGAAAAGATTATCATGGTACCTGCATAAGGATAACACACAAGTTTGTGAAGTTTTACATTTTTAATATTCTCAATGGTGCTATTTACAGTAGCCCAAACAAGGAAACAGAGTAAATGCCCATTAACTGATGAAAACACAAAATGTAATATATACCCATACAATGGAATATCACTCAAGTATAATGGAAATGAATTACTAATATGTGTTATAGTATGGATGAACCTTGGAAAAAAAAATCATGATTAAGTGAAGGAAGCCAGACGCAAAAAGGCAACATACATGATTTTACTTATAACAAATATCCAGACTACATAAATCCATAGAGCCACAGTTGAAGGTTAGAAGGAAATGAAGAGTAACTGTTTAATGGTACAGGGTTTTCTTTTGGGGTGAGGAAAGTGTTCTGGATGTAGATAGTAGTTGATAACTGAACCACATTTGCACTTTTTGTATACTTTGAAATGGTAAAATTTATGTTCCATACATTTTACAATAAGAAAGTTTTTAAATATCTTCAAACCAGCACTGATGGAGAGGCTCAAGGGGTAAAGCGTCTGCCTACCAAGCGTGACCCTGAGTTCAAACCTCAGTACCAACCAAAAAAAAAAAAAAAGAAACCTCAAATCTAGGGCTGGAGGTGTGACTCGAGAGTAGAACACCTGCCTAGTAAGCATGAAGCCCTGCATTCAAATCCCAATAACAACAACAAAAAAATCCCTGAAATCTATCTTGCAGAAAACCCCAACCCTGCTGGGTATAGTGGCTTATACCTATAATTTCAGCTACTCAGGAGGCAGAGACCGAGAGGACTGATTTGAGGCCAGCAGGGACAAAAGAAGAGCTCCATTTCAGTGAAAAAGCTGGGCATGATGGCATATGCCTATAATCCCAGCAACATGACATCAACTGCATTAGTCTGTTGCCTACTCCCTCCTTCCTGAAACATTCTTCAGTCATTCTGCCCCTCCAGTCTATTGTTCTCTTTGAAATTCTTCCCCTCTCTGACAATTAGTGAGGTTCACTAAGATTCAAGCTGCCTTCTCTTATTCTAAAGCAATGAGTCAGTAAACTTTTTCTTAAAGGGTCAGACAGAAAATATTTTATGCTCATCACCCTTACAGTAGTAAGGTACTCCACACTGATATTTAGGTGGAAAAACAATGATCGATTCGCATACAAATGTCGCAATAAAAATGTATGGAGAACTGGAGGTGTGGCTCAAGCAGCAGAGAATCTGCCTAGCAAGTGTAGCTCTGAGTTCATACTCAAGTTACTCCCCTCCCCCTCAAAAAAGGACACTGAATTTGAATTTTATGTAATTTCACCTATCACAAAATACATTGCTCTGATTTTTTTCCAAACATATTAAAATGTAAGAACCTTACTTAGGTCCTAGAACATAACAAATGGTGAGCCATAATTTGCTGAACTTTTTGGCCTATCTCATCAACCTCTTGCTTTTTTTTTTGAGATAGGGTCTTTCTGTGCACCTTAGTTTGGCTTCTAATTCACTATCTAACCCCAGGCTGGCCTCAAACTTGTGATCCTCCTGCTCAACTGCTGGGATGATGAGCACAAATCACCATGCCTGGCACTTACCATCCCTTTTTAATGGCACTTACCAACACCTGTGACAATTGTTCACTTGCTGTCTAATCTCCAGATTAGAATATAACTCAGGAAAACTTATTCTCCCACCACTTAATCCCAGTGCCTGACCCAGAGCAGACGACTAGTGTGTGCTGAATGAACTCAGAGCACATGGGCAGCAGCTCATCTGCTCTGGTATTCCTGGGCTACATCTACTGCAGCTCTCTCTTAGACTTCCAGGGCTAAATCACAGGCCTGCTCAGGCCTGACCACATCTGCTCAAGGGCTTCTTTTGTGGATGTGGTAATGTACATGTGTATGCCAAAATTACAGGATAATGGAATGAAGAGGGTCTTTAAATGATATGTGGTCCATGCCCCTCATGTCACAAGCAAATGAAATCAGAGGACCCAAGAGGTCAACAACTTTGCCTGTCACCAAACCACTTATCCATACAGAAGGGGCCCAGACACCAGGTTTTCCTTTCACCCTTTCCATGAGACAGTGCAACTGATAATCCAAGTTGTGTCAATCACAACTCGTAATGTATATTTTCCTTCCAACACACCTAATACAGAGCGTGACAAGGCCTTGCTACTTCCACAGTGTTAACAAGAAGACAGGGTCCTGGATACTATTTGGCAAAGGAAGAGGGAGGCTATTTTTAGTGGGAGCTGTCTAGGCAGGGCTCTTGAGGCCTTACCTGCAGGAGTTCCCTGGTGGGCTGCTGCTGCTTCTCTTCTAGCTGGGCAATTAGGCTGCTGAGGTGGGAGATGTTGCAGGAGAACTGGGTGATGGCACCATTGATACTGTTGTAAATGGCCAAGTCTAGCTCTTCAAGACGGGCCAGGAGACGATATTCATGCTCCTTCAAGGAATGATACAACTGCTCAAACTCCCAAACAATCTTCTCTCTCTCCATCTGGGTCAGGCTCTGTACAGATTACAAGCAAGGGCAGTGAAGAAAGATTCACTTCTAGAGCACTCCATAATTCTCCTCTGACAACCTACCTAAGACCTCACCATTTCATCCAAGGATGTTAAAGTACCCATTTACCCATTATTTCCAGTCTTTTCTGACTAATACATAAAGACCAGAAACTGAGTCATCCTAGTGATAATTAAGACACAGTCCCTTTCCTTAAGGAACTCAGTCAAATCAGTCAGATTCACGTCATACACAGTCATGGATGGGTATGGACATGGTGACAGCCTGTAGTGAGGGAAGCTGGTAGTCTTGATAGAAGCTGTGTTCACACAAGGTCTTATAGAAAAAACAGAAATTACCAAGTAAGCATGAGTGGAAGGGCTTTCCAGGCAGAAGACATGGCACAGACAACAAAGTGGGGAGAGAAGGCAAATGGTTTTGTCTGGTTAGAGTACATGAGTATCGAAGTAAGAGGCCAGAAAAAGTAAGTAGAGACCAGATCACATCTTACCAAGCAGGCAAAGGAGCAAGGACTTTATTGCAACTGAGAGCCATGAAAGACTGTCACATAAAAAGGTGACATGGTCAGATATGTGTCCTGTGGAGAATGGTTTGGAGTATCAAGAACAATTTTTTAGACCAGCTCTTCATACACAATCTATGTCCTCTATCTGGCTTTCAGAGATGCTCCCCAACTACCCTGTCTCATGGGGATGGGAAAGATGGTTTCTCTATGGTTCCCTCTTGGTGCTGACTTGGTTTTCACAACTTATCTGTCCTTCCTTCTTGACCTCTGCCCGCCAGTCAGTATACACATAAAATTTTTTTTTTTTAAACCTAAATAAGGGGTCAGAGGCCTGGCATTGTGGCACATGCCTGAAATCCCAGCACCTGGAAGGCTGAGAGGCAGGAGGATTTTGAGACCCTGTCTCAAAATAAATAAATAGGAGGAATGGCTCAAATGGTAAAGGTCCTTCCTAACACAGGGCCCTGAGTTCAAACCCTAGTACCACAACCCCCACCAAATGAAAGAAAGAAAGAAATCCAAGCTAGAGTAGTTACCAGAATAAATAAGTGGTCAGAAAACATCTTGGAGATGTAAAAATAAAGTTTATTGGAACCATGTGGTACCCATTCACTTAAGTATTGGATATGGCTGTGTTTTTGATACAATAGCAGAGGTCATTAACTGTGACATAACCCATATAAGTCCAGAAAACTAAAAAATATTTACTATCTGGCCCTTTTCAGAAAGCTTGACAACACCTGTTCTATGCACAACTGCTCCTGGGAGCCTTCTTCCACTGAGTATTCCTCCATTTGCCCTTCTTAGGCACTCATTGTGCAACTTAGTAATGTACACACACCTCGGTTTATAGATCCTTTCCTTAAACTTGTACCTCTTCTCAGCTGGGTAAATCTTCCAAAGACACAAACTACAAAATGTAATCTTAGAAATACAAAATTAGAGCTGAAAGAAACCCTGAGGTGTTCAACTAACTCAGTGTTTCGCAAAGGGGGTGCTATTTGTATCTTGGTAGGAACACTTCTGCCTGGCATGGGTCTATCTTAGCATCCCTCACCCATCCTTCCTAATCACTCTATTCCTCAAGGAAAAAACCCACATACCATTCATTAGAGGGAAGGAAAGGGTGATACTAGCCTGCCGAAGAACCACAAATCTAGTCCAACCTATCCATTTCACAGATGAAGAAATTAAAGCCCAGAACTGGTGGTCTCTCCCCTTTAACCATTCCCCCTCCCCCTCTCCTGCACAGAGGACATTGTTGTATGCATAATGGTTTCAGTCTACTTAGTCTCACTCAGAAGAGTCCTCATCCATCAAACTTTAAGCAAGCGGAAGTGAGGTCTCAGGGAACTGTGTGAGCAGAGCAAGTGGTGGGACCTAAAGGAATGAGTTCCAGGTCCAGAAGTTCATTACTACTGCCTGGCCAGACAAGATTTCTCACAAGATTATCTTGGACAATACTATTCTAGAACTTTACTTTTCAGATGCAAATACTCTAAAGGGTAGTAATTTAAAATAGTTTATTTATTGTTCAAAACTTTTTAAACATGTAGGTAGTGGATATACAGGTATATATAAGACTCTAATTTGGGAGGGGGACTTTATCCCCCACCTCCATTCCCCTATCAGAATTAGTACATCAGTCACTTTTAAGGCTTTAGGATACTGGAGAAAGAAAACAGAGTGAAAAATTCAGAATTTTCAGAATTGTAGCACTGTCAAGAGAGTAACACTCCTAGGCAGTGTTATCTGTAAATTCCCGCAACACTTACCAAGAGTTCAGCACGTGCCTGCTCCCCCTGGGCCCGACGTCTCTTCTTTAAGTCTTTCACTCTTTTTAGATGGTCCAGCTGGTTCTGGATTTGTTCCTGAAGAAAGCAGAATAGTTGGGCAGTTCAAGATTAGATACATATTAGCATTGGCTTGGATCTTCTGCTTATCACACATGGAACCCAGATTTCTGATACAGAGGGCCTTGTGAGGGTCTGTCCTCGGGTCATATGGCCATCCATGAGAGAAAAACCCTGAGACACAGGGAGCCACCACAGTTCTCCTTTGGCAACTTGTGCTTCTTAAACAATAAGTAACCTACCACTCACAGGAAGAATGCTGCAAGGCTTTGCAGAAAGGTGGCTGGACTAGGAGGCTTAGTTAAGTTGCGGCTCTTCCACAGAGATGTACAGAGAAAATGACTTTTCCGTACATGTGTGGCATGTATACACTAACTTGCCAGCCTACTAGAGAGTTATCACCAGGGTGAGTGAAATGACACAGTTGTAAGCCCTACAAATGCTAAGTGATTGATCATGCTTGGACACACATTTAAACATAAACACAAACGTGCATATATTCCTGCAGGCCTCAAAATACAAAAAAAAAACCCCAAAACCCAGCATCATGTACTCAGTGAATGTCACCTTATAAGTACTTTATATATGCAATACTTTTTTTTTCCTTGTTACTGTTTAGCTGTGCCAGGGTGCTTGCTCAACAGTTCACTAAGGCCTCTGCCTGTCATATGATTTCACTTAATCTTCATAATAACTGTGTTATCTCCTGAGTCTCAGTGGTTAAATTGTTTACTCAAGCAGTAAAGAGCTGTTCTTTTCCACTATCTTCTAGAACAGGAGGGTTACAGGGAAGTGCTGGGGGAAATGCTTACAGACCAAGTGCTGGTCACTGCTTGATGTGTATACAGCCAATCAACATCTGAGTGTGTTTTGTGTGGTATCTGGGAAATGGGAGTACGATGATCTCAGATACTTGTCGATGTGTATGTGGTTTTATGTACATCTCTTTTGTCAACACAGGGTCTCCAAGCGGTCTTTATGCACAACGGTCAGGCGAGACAGAGGAGGCACAGGAAACGGGAGTGGGGTGGGGAGACAACTGGCTTCCTCGACAGCTACAGGTTTTCCTCCTAAATCTGAGTGCGGGGACTCAGTAGTAGACAGAGAGGAAATGACGGCTGTGAACCACACGTCCGGCTCAGCCATTTTCTAGGCGGAAAAAGGGAAGCCCCTTTGGCTCCCTCCTCCCTTTGTCCGACTCGCGCTCCTGCCCCTCCCGCTCCGCGCGCCGGGCCCTCACCTTGAAGCCCTCCACCGCCTCCTCGAGCGGCAGCACACTGTGGCCGCGGTGCTCGCGGGAGCGGTCGCACACCACGCAGATGGGCATCTGGTCCTCCTCGCAGTACAGCTTCAGGGGCTCACGGTGCTTCTCACACACGCCCATCTCGCCGCCGGGCCCCGACGGCCGCTCGGTGCGCAGCTGCTTCACCAGCTGGGTCACGTTGGCCAGGTGCCGGTTGGGCCGCATGTGCCGCTGCGGGAAGGTCTCCCGGCACTGCGGGCACGACACGTTAGTCTCCGCGGCGCCCCAGCAGCGGGCGAGGCAGGCGCAACAGATGTTGTGGCCACAGTCGAGCATCATGGGTTCGACGAAGTACTGCAGGCACACGGGGCAGGTGGTCTCCTGCTGCAGGCACTCGGCCACGCTCCCGGAGGCCATGGCGCGGGCCCGCGGGGGCGCACGGGCATGGGCCCCGGCGCCGAGCTCTGCGGGGAGCTCAACTCTCACTGTTCCCTGCCCGCTTCTCTGTTCCTCGGCGGCGCGGGAAGACAAGCGGGACGGACCGAGGGCGGCGCCTCTCGGGCCCGGGTCCCAGACGCGCCCGCGCGCCGGAGTCCCCGGTTGGCCAGGCCGCTCCCTGTGTCGCGGAACTCCGCCGAGCGAACGCGGGAATACTGCGGCCCTACCGAGCCCAGCGGTTAAGTTGGGGTGGGGGATGGGGGCAGGAAAGGGGCGCCGCGGGTCAGGCTCACAGGGCCAGGCGCGCAGGGCGCGCAAGACAACGTGGCCGCGTCGGAACGGATCCCCGCGGCCGCGTAGACCCCACCCCGGCGCGAGCGGAAGAGGCGGCTCGGGGGGGCGGGGCTTGGCCCGTCGTGCGACGCGATTTCTTGGCCTCCGGGCCGGAGCGCTTCCTCCCCCAGAGGGCTGGGAGGCCCCGTCGGCCGTCTTTGGGCGGGACGTCCGGGCGTTGGGACGTCCGGGCGTTAGAGTCCCGGGAACCTGTTTCAGGAGCTGGTGGTGTCCGCGGCGGTTACAGGACATCCCCTGGTCCCGGCCAACCTCCAATCTCCGGCTGAGCTTGGACCCCTACTCTTTCGTTGGGTTCCTTTTGGTACCCAGGCCTTAGCCCCTGTGCAAGAAAGATGGCTTTGTGTGGGTTCTGGGACGCTCAGACCTCTGGCCTCCCCTTGCGCAGATGAGCCCCACCCGGTACGTGAGGCACTTACAATTTTTTTTTTTTTCTGTGGGGCAGAAACTGAGAAGTCAAGTTTTACCACTAAACTTCCAACTCTTTTATGTTGGTCCTTCATCTCTGACATGGCATTTCCTATTTTCATTTGGGATTTTTCTCGATTTTGTTCTTGATATGAGCAAGAAGGGCTTCTGTTTCCAGGAAATCATTGTAGAAGGTTCTGCTCTGGTCCTCTTCCCCATAGGGAAGCAACGAAATGGAGTTGCCAACTCCACACCTACATCCTCCTCTGAACCACACTCTTATTCCTTGAAATTCCAGGCCTTAGCACACTTCCAGTAAAATGGAGAGTGCTTGGGCAATACTTTCGTCTTAGTTAAAGATGAAGTCAAAATTGAAGTTTGGAGAGTTAAACATACTTCTAGAATTTTGCTCCAAAAAGGAGTAGTAAGTATTGCAGAACTTTATAAAATGAGGTTACTCACCATCTCCTCATTTTAGGAATGTGGACCTGGGATCTGGTTTGTTTTCAGGATTGGTGGTGTTGGCAATAATGGCACCGATAGGTTTCAGTTCTTACTGCACCCTTAAGCTTCTGTTTTCCAGGGTCATGGTCCTGCCTCAAGTCTAGCTTGAATCCTCCTTCTGCCCCAACTGCCAATCATCATGAACCATAAGATCCTAACCAATCAGATCATGCCGAGTCTAACTGAGGGTTATTTAAGCCCCTGCCCTTCCTGCTTCTCTCTCTGTTGGCTCTCTCCTTCTCTTACCCGGCAATAAAGAATCTCTTGGCCAGTTCACTCCTCTCCACGTGGTCACTTTGGGCCTACTTTTCCAACAGTGGTGTTATCTTTGCCCCTCAAAATCTCTGGGGGCAGATGGCCTGGCGGTAAAGAAGGGTAGTGTGAGGGGAACAGCAAATGGCAAAAGTAACTTTGCCTTAGATAAGAGAGACAGCAAGGCACCTTAAAAGCAAGCATCTAAGGAGAAGTGAGGAGCAGGCCTCTCACCCAGATAATAAAATACAGCAGGTGTTTCTCCTAGATAAGGGAGACAGTGAAACACCTTTAAAAACAAAGCCAAAGGGATAAGAAACAGGCTCCTCAAGGAGAGTAACACAGCAAACTTCCACGAAGATAGCAAAGGGGAGTTACAACATATACATGGGGAGTCTCTTCAAGATAGCAAGAGGCAGTCATAAAATGTAAGTGGCAGGCCTCAAGGACAGGATAGACTAACAAGACCCTCTTGAAATGTCCAGCTGGATAAGGATGGGGGGAGGGGCAGCCAAATGGTCAGGTTCAGTGAGAAGTTAATTAGATGACCTCCAGTTACAGATGAAGGGGGAGCCTAAGTCAGACAGAGCTCTATTATCCACTAGACTTCAGCTTTTCTTTGGGTTAGCTCTTTCACTAAGTCCCACCTGTTGGGGTGCTTTGCTGTTCTTTCAATACATTTTGTGTTTGCTTTATTCTTAACTCCAGGTCTGGTGTATTCAATCATCAACTTTGCCAGGACATGAACCAGTATCAGTAGAACAAAATAGTTGAGTTGAGTGGGGAAGGGTGGGAGTAAGGAAAAGGGAAGGTTTACACAGGTAATTTATACTAGTTACCTTCCTTCTTAAATGATTATTATCCTTCTCCTAGTTTTTTTTGGGGGGGGCAGTACTGGGATTTGAACTTGGGGCCTACACCTTGAGCCACTCCACCAAACTCTTTTTTATGATGGGTTTTTCGAGATAGGGTCTCACGAACTATTTGCCCAGGGTGGCTTCAAACTGCAATCTTCCTGACCTCTGCCTCCTGAGTAGGATTTCAGGCCTAAGCCACCAGGCCCAGCTCTTCCTCTAGATTTAATGGAATAAGCATTATTGCTCAATTTGCCTGTTCATTTTCTTTTTTGTTACTACACCCTGACCTAAATTATTGCAACAATGTGTCAGTTTACTTTTTGCAATGAGTTTTGCCAAATGAATGGAACCTTTCCCATTAGTTTGCTGTTTTGTAGTCTTTCTTTAGTCCTCTTCCATACCACCTCCAGGGAGATAATCATCCTTAAGAACTCTCTACAATGCTCCTTTCTTTCTATCACTTCCTACTGGGAAATCTTCAAAATTTCCTTTTTGCCCCCAGAACATTGTCCATACTCTTTCATATACAGGCCTGATAAAGTTTTTAAAAATTATTGATATGTTTTGTTTTAACATAAATTCCTAACTGCTGCCTTACTCAGCCCTGGGAGAACAGTGATTTCCACTAGTATTGGCCAAATCCAGAGAACCAGTTTCATTCTTCATTTTCACATCTCAGAGGTGTTGTACACTGTTGATCCTCTCTTCTTGGCTCATTCCTCCAGACAGCAAACTGAGTGGGACCCCACAAGGCCCAAGGTATTTCTGCTTCCTGTCGTTTTCTCTGATCTGCCCTTTACCAGGCGATATCTTCCAGTCATTCTGGGAAAGTAATAGGAAAAACACACAGCTGGAACACTTGAAGTAAAAATAAGCTGACAGATCAATGGAACAAAACAGGAAATTGAGAAATAGACCAAAACGTCAATAAGAATTTAGCATAAGATAGAGGAAAAATTATAGGTTGGTGCTATATGTTAAGGAAATATCAGAAGGAGTAGCTAACTGGGGGAAAAAAGATGTCATCTCACTTGTTAGGCCAAAATATATTCTAGATCAATGAAAGATGTAAATTAGGCTGTTGGAGTGGCTCAAGTGGTAAGGATGCCTTCCTAGCCAGCATGAGAAAGATTTTAAATTAAAAATATGAACCTAACCCCTGGCACGGTGACTCATGCCTGTAATCCCACTAGGGAGGTGAAGATAGAAGGACAGAGATTAGAGGTCAGCTCTGCCCCCTCCCCCCAAAAAGTTCGTAAGACCTTATCTCAAAAATAAGACAGGCATGGTTTTGAACAGCTATATCCCAGCATGAGGAAGGCCAAGGTAAGGGAATTGCAGTTTGAGGCTGCCCTGACAGGCAAAAATCTAAGACCCCTATCTGAGAAATAACTAAAGCAAAAAGGGCTGGGGTGTGGTTCAAATGGTAGAGAGAGGCCCTGAGTTCAAAACTCCAGTACTAGAGAAAAAAATCAAAAACTCTTTTGGGAGAACAAACTGATTGATTAAAACAAATCATCTGTAAGTTCTTTCTAAATTTGACCCCAAACCCACAAGTCACATGTTTCAATTTAATTACATAAAATTAAAAATCAAAATGACTTCTACATGGAAAAATACCTTGAAACTAAGTTTGAATTCCATTACTGCCAAAAAAAATTGAAATAGAATAATAAAACAAAATTTTAAAAATATTTTTAGTAAAATATGATGAAGGATGAATTTCCTTGAAAGACAAAATACTTTCACAAATCAAAAGAAAGAGAAAGGAAAAATGAACAAAGTATATGAACAAATGGTGCAGGGGAAAAGAACAAATGCCCAAAGATGTGAATAAAGATGAAACTCCTTTTGTATCATTAGCAAAGGTACAAAAACTTGAAAATGTTCTGTATTGAAAAGAATGAAAATAGGGATTTCCCCATGCTGTGGGGTTATAAATGGAAAGAACACTATTGAAAGCAATTTAATAATGGTTTTTTTTGGTTTTTTTGTGGTACTGGGGCTTGAACTCAGGGCCTTCCCCTTGAGCCACTCCACCAGCCCAACTTTTTGTGATAGGGTTTTTTTGAAATAGGGTCTCATACACTATTTGCCCAGGCTGGCTTTGAACTGTGATCCTCCTGATCTCTGCCTCTGAAGTAGCTAGGATTACAAGTGTGAGCCATCAATGCTTGTCCTAATAATAGGGGTTTTGTTTTTTTTTTTTTAACTCCCATGTGTTTTGAATCTTCTCCACTTCTCTCCCATCTGCACAAGATGATTGATTGAATAAGGGTTGTCACTACAACGCAGTTTGGATTTGTAAAATACTAGAACCTGCATAAAAGTGCTTCAGTAGGGGACAAATTAATGAAAATACTATGCAGACTCACGGTTGAATACTATGCAGATACTAAAAAGAATGAGTTAGGTCTACATATACTAGTATGGACAGCTCTCATTCTTTTTTTCTTTCAACAAATGTTTGTTGATTTCAAGTATGTTGACTATGCTAGACAGCTTCCAACTTCCAGGACACTAAGGAACAAAACAAAGTTTCTGGGCTGGTGAAGTTACTTCCTGGAGGGAAAGATAGATGGTAAACAAATCAAGAATTACATAGAAAATAAGGTCTGGAAACAGCTCAGTAGCTCAGTGGTAGAGAGCACATGTGCAAAGCCTTGGGTTTGATTCCCAGCACAAAAAAAAAAGTATGAAAGATGCTGTGAAGAGAAATAAATCAAGACATGGAGGATGGAGGGTTGTCATTTCTTACTAGGTGATCTGGGAAGGATTTTTTTTTTTTTTTGATGAAGTAGTCAAGGGCTGCTGTAGTTTTGAGTCTCAAATCTGCATGTCATTGGCCTTTATCCCAGAAAAATGAAAACTTATGTTCACACAAACATCTTCACAAAGCATTATTCATAATAGCCAAGCTTGGAAACAACCAAACATCCTTGAATCATTGTGTAACCACTATATATCTATATCAGGAATACTAAAA